ATACAAAAGTTACATTTCCTTTATATCAAAAGTACAATTATTAAATATGATATATTATTAAATGATATGTTCCTTGAACAGTTCGGTACAGTTCGAATTTTCTTGTTTTGAAATTATATTTTTTTCTGCAATGGACACAACTGCCGTTAATATACCTTGTCGCAAATCGGGTGTGGGTGTTATTTCAGCACTACCAAACGTTCTGAACACTTTATTAGCTATTTCTCTCCTGTGTGCTACCAATTCATCAACATACCCTTTAGCAACCGTTGATGACTTCCAACTGCCATGTTTCTTTAGTGTCATCGAGTCTCCCCCAGATTCAACTAAAAGTGTAACAGACGATCTTCGAAATGAATGACCTGTATATAAATTGGCATTTTCAAGTTGAAGAAAATTAGCCACTGCTTCAGGTACCTTATAAAACTGATTGTTACCCACAACCTGATTGATACATTTTCTATTGCGATATGCATAAAACAGGCGACGATGCTTTGCTGCTGCTGGACGAAGGGCTATGTACATTCGGTAAAATTTAATATATTCTTCAGTAACTACAAATCTCCTGTTTATATCATTCTTTGTTTGCTTGAGTTTCACAGCTTTCTTGGGCGTGTAACCTTTCCCATTTTGTTTCAGAAATGTAATTAGTTTGAAATATTTTGAAATGTATACATTATTATTGGATTGTAACATATACTTTTGATCACTGAATAATTCGACCACACTGTTTATGACTTTAGTTGTTGTGCCAGTTCCGAAAAATAAGCCAATAACACCGTCTCCGAGAAAGAACGGCATGTCTTTTTCATCTTCCATTCCATGAATATTGAATACGCGGTTTCATAAATTTTCCGCGATTTAACTGGCAATAATTTTTGTGAAGCTACTTTCGCTGCTTCTACTAACTCCGGTGGATTCAGAGAAAACTCGGAATTAGACATTTTTCAAAATAACTACTGACTACTAATTTTGCAATTTTTAAAAGAATGCTCAGGAGTAAACAAGGATCGATAATAAAAATAAGAAGAAAAAGAACAGAATGCAAATTGCAGATTTGCAGAATGCAATTTTTTTTAAACAAAGACCATCATTATATTGATAAATACTCATCATCAATCTCCTGATGAAGCTAACTCGGTTGAAGAAACGCAGTTGATACAGAAGAGTGTTAAGAGAATCTTGGTTTGAAATCTTGCTTGACCTATGTAATGGCGAAGTCAGAGCTTCAAGCGAAAAATATGAACCAATGAAATGTTTATTAAATATTACAAAAACCAAGAATGTCTGCGTGAACATTTATTTAACTGTTTAACCACTTAGTTATCAATGAAAATTTCAAAAATAATGGACAAAAATCAATATTTGGTGATATTCTTTGTAGTCAAGTCAACTGAAAAATCACTTCCTATTCTTATCTATTCTATAATCAATCTTTCCACTCATAAATCAGTATCACACCAACTCAAATTTCTAATTGTCCTAATTTTCCTAACTGAAGACTTTACAGGCGCTTCCTTTGCTGGAAATACAATTTCACAAACATCAACAATAGCAACAACAGTGTTAAAACCAAATCAAGCACTTTTCTCAATCACCAGAAATGGAATACTCTTCTCGACGCACGTTTTGCCAACGAAGTTGGCGTCTTCAGGAGATGAAGAAACTGTCATTTCCTTCACTCTCTGAGTGTCATCTTCATCAGGGGATGAATATTACTTTTTCATCGTTCATCAAAATCCCAATATATTTTTTATAGAACTACATATCTCGTAATTGCATCGGTCAGAAAAGCATTTCTTTTGAAATATTTATTTGTTCTAGTTCCTGCTTGATTAGGGCAATCTTCATTATCTTTCTCCAGCTGCATTTCTAATTCCTGCAGTACTCTAGAACTATTTTTCGGAAACTGTTGACTATTATCTGCATTTACATCATCTTCAAGCTGTACATTTTCAGCTTCAATAAATGATATGTTCATTTCTTGCCGGAACTTAATATTTCGCCATTACAAATATTTGAGATTGCATGATTTCGTTATTAACTTTCGGTAATACTTTTTTGAATTCAGCTAGTAGATCAACATGGTACTAACTTAATTACTACGATTTTTTCTCACTCATGCATGTAACGCCCCGGATAGTTCATTGCTTAAAAATGTGACTTGCTTCTCCACTTTCATCAATGACATTCTTATTTTTTCTCCGTCCCTAAATTTTATGTCGGATGCTATGTTGATGAGAGCTTTCTCAATGTACGCTTTGAGACTGTAAAACCTGTCCAACATATCTAACGAACTGTTGCAGCGTTTACAACAATTCAGAATGAAGCTAAATCATTTTCCTGTCTCATGTTGGTGTCATATTTGAATGAATATGCGCCATTTATTACTTTCAAATCTGCAGGGTAGATTCGCAGCCTGTTGCGGGATTCTGCAGTTCCTAAAATTATGCTGGATTCTCCTGGATTGCGAGATCACTTAGATACGGGATTCCGTATCGGTTAATAAGTAGATATTTTCTGGCAACCAGTATACCTGTTTTTTAACAATCTCTTCTGCACTATCACTATCAACACCTTCATTATTATCGTTATGATTTTCCTCTTCGAAATTTCAATTGTTTCTGAGGTATATTTTCAAGGATGAAATTGATTATTCTCACAAACCAACCTTCACATTGCAAATAGGATATAATTTCTTGATATTGATAAATGATTGTGCTACTAAATTCTGCTGCCTATAATGTTATACAACTTCACTGTGTATGCTCAACTATTTATATGGTTATAGCTCACCTCGTATAATTTATAGACGAAGCTTGTAAAATGCATTTCGCTAATGGTGAACCGTTCCACTTTCCGCCTAATGAACGTCATAACTTCTGCGGAACGTTTTTCTTTTTTTGCCCTCCGGTCGGTTATAACGTGGACAATGTAAAATAATTTTCTAATGAAGTGTGATAATTTCATACGACTACCAAGGAAGACATATTTACATTCAATGCACCTACAGTGAACATGCACTTATATTTGTTATTGTCTGGGTTGGTAAATAATTCATAAGAATCTCCGTTCGGCCGTGGCCAGATTATGATATACAAAGTGTTTACAACTAGTTAAGCCAGTATATCCAATCATTTCACGGAATGGGCACATATCAATTATATTTTTGATCTATATAAGTGAACATTTAGTCAATACCTTTTGTTGATTGATTTTATCAGGTCAATAGATCAATTTATTTGTGAAGTTGGATACCTGAAAACGAAGGAGCTTTTAAATAAAAGTTAGGTGTACAACATAAAATTCATAAAAGTCCACGAAGTCTGATTTGTAGCTTTTTTTCTGGCGCTAATACTGTCAAAATTCATTTCATGGTTTCAAGAAACGATAGAAAAATATTTCTAGGTTGACTAGCCTGAACATCTCTATTTTATCTGGTAATTCAGACATACGAGGGTACAAAAATTCGCTCCCAGCTCAAAATTGGTAGTATTGTTCAAAATATCATAAATTGAATTTGAAAAATCCTCATCGAGATTTTCAGCAACACGGTAAGTTTTATAATAAAATTAGTTCAGACAAAAATCGTAGATCAGATAATTGTCTATCCAAAATGTCAAAATACTTTTTTTTATCCTTGCGTGGCTAGGGTCATATACTTGTCTCATCTTAGGATACCTAAAACATGAAATACTATTATTTTACGACAAATATTAAAGCTGCCGAAAAATGTCGTAGAACTTCAGCAACATCTTTATCTTCTTATATTTTATTTGATCAATCGATGACAGTTCCAACCAGGCAAGAGAATTTTCTTGCAAATACTCACAACAAATTCCGATCCATTTCATTGTTGACAAGAAAGCTTACTGCTGAAAATATATTGGTAAAACTAGGTAAAAAAAGTTAATAATTATGCTCATGTAATGATAATTGAAACAGCAATAGAGCAATTCAATTTAACAAATACTATCAACTATTATTGTAGGTGAAGATGTAGACGTACTCGTATTACTAACTGCTCAAACTCCAATCGAAATAACTATTTTTTGAAAAGCTCAACATCAATCGGAAATATATTCATCGGAAAGTTTATATACTTTGGCAAAGTGTCAACATCATATACTATTTTTACACGCAATAAATGGCTGTGATACGACATCTGCTTTTTAGGAAGGGGTGAAAAAACAGTTTCAAAAACAAGATTCAGTCCAATGTACTGGAATTTTGAAAAGATTGATTAAACTCCACGAGAAGTTATCACCAACGGATTTCGCTTTCGTCTCTCTATGTACGGGGTGCCTAAAAATACTACGTACTCGAAAGTTGGTCAACGATGCATTAGAACCAGTTTAGACTTTACTCTCACCAGAAAAACTGCTTAACACAATATTCGCTACTGTAAAAAGGGATATAGTACTAAATGTGGTTACAAAAAAGTTGGACTGTTTTGTACAAATTTTCAAGACCGGTTATGCTTCAATGTTGAATCACCAACAGTTGAGGATTAGTTCAATACCAACCAGGAGACATGCGATGTATCACTATTGAGGCAATTTACTCGCACCCAGGATGAAGCAGAAGAAGAAGAACAAGAAGAGGAAGCAGAATATTTTACACCACTTTCATGAATGTTAGATACAAAGGAATGGGATATATCCTATGAAAAATCATTGTCGGTCAATTTCCAGAATTTCTGTGATCAATTCAAAATGCTTTACGATGAATCATGTCAACCGATACCCAATTCGAAGACCTCACGAAAAAAAACAAATTGGTTTAATCTGGAGTTAAAACTGGCAAGGAATGATCTAGACAATGCCTACGTTATGAGTAAACAATCAGAAAATGCATTGTTGGGAAGATTGTATAAAACAAAAAGGAAAAATTATAGAAAACTTATAAGCGATGCTAAACGGGCTAGCATTAACGAAAACATTGTTGAAGCCAGTAACAAATCAAAACAAATTTGGAAGGAAGTCAACACAAAATTAGGCAGAAGTCCAAAAAATAAAAGCGGTATAACACTTACAATAAATNAAAAATCACTGAAAGATTTCTTATTGGCTAAATCTTATTATACATTACAAGAGTATTTCGCTGATTGAGTTTTTGTGGATATCTGTGTGTAAATAATCTTATTCTTTTATGTTTTAATCTTACATTTTTACACTTGTACATCTATACGTTTTTACATTTTTATTTATACATATATGTATATATATCTGTATTTTATGGTCCTATGTTTATATGTATTGAATGTATATTTACATGTTTGTTTGTTTACATATTTATAAGTATAAGTTGACATGTTCGATACCATGTAGTTGGTCCATGAATGAATAAATTTCTTTCTTTCTTTCTATCTTTTATATCTTTTATTATTCGATAGTTCCAAATCAAACAGAATCACAACGGAAACTAAACTACACTGAAGAGAACGTGCTGGGTACACTACCTCGAAAGTGGCGTGAAAAAGTGTGCATATCATGACTATTATAACTCTTCCAACTTTTTATATCTGTTAAAAATGTGTTTTTCCATCAACAAGCTGTGGCTCTCCTGCGGACGACAACTCTCAAAATTCGAAACTTATGTGAGCTATGGACTAACGAGGTTTTACCTTTTAACGTGTGATTCCCAACATGGGCTCTTAGGAAAAGAAGTGTTACATTTTTTATAGATAATTATCTTATCTTCAATTTTTGTCTGAATTACTTACCATAAAACTGACTGTTTTGCGGGAAATCACGAAAAAAACCGTTTTTGTGACCTCTGACCCTGAACCATTTTTTCCAGGTATTGGATCGATGAGGATTTTTCAGATTTTATTCATTATATTGTTTCAAACAATCCTACCAATTTTGAGGTGGGTGCGAAATTTTTGGACCTTCACTCCTATTTTTTGGTATATTTTCACCGAATTAATATGGTTTGAAATTATGTATCAAAAAAAATTCTTAGCTTTCTAAAAACACACGGCGTACAACTTTGAATAATAATATCATTAGTTCATCATTCTTCTTGAGCATTTTTCAAATTGGAATAATCATGTATGATGTTTTAAATAGTTCCCTTCATATAGCTGTTTTGTATATAACAGCTACACGAGTTCCGTTTCAAATAAGCACCACATCATCTGAAGATCTTGATCTAACAATGTCCTCTCTCTTATAAAACAAAATGTAGGGTGTCTCCAGATGCTCCAATGAATTCAATGCATCGCCAGAACACTTCGTGACAGGACTATCGTCAAACTTAAGAAGTCAAACTTCTTGGTCAAATTATTTCAGCAAAAAGTGTAACACCTAGTAAAGATAATATTGAGGCAGTATTGGCCAACAAAATTCCTGAAAACAGAATGCAGGTTTGGAAATTTCGAAACTCGTGACATTTTTCTCTAATTTCATCCCATATATTTCTGAATCGACTAAGAATTCAAGAAATTCAATCATTCACCAACTTTGTTAATGTTAAATTCCATGTTTTCGAAACTGAGGTGTCGTATGGAAGTATGATGAATTGTTAACTGATGTTAGGAATCGCACGTTGAAAGGTAAGACCTCATTAGTCCTTAGCTCGCACAAGTTTCTCAATTTCTGAGAGTTGTCGTTCGTATGGGGGCGACAGCTGATTAACGGAAAACAGATTTTAAACAGATTTCGTGACATAGACTGTCCTAATATTGGTTTGGGGTGTTCTTGTTCGTTCAAAAATCAGACAATTTTTAGCAGCTGTGAAATGTACGATGACATATGAAACACAAGTTGAAAAAGAAATGAAACAACACCTTGTTGACTCACTCGGTGACCATAACAAGGAGGAAACAAACATGATATACGTTTATGTTGGATTTAAATATCATTACGGGCATAATATGCGTAGAATCATTCAAACAGCTATAGTTTTTCAGTCAACTCAGAGGAAACTTCCAATTTCATAAGTTATTTGGCAAAAATCCCTTCAGTAACTGACGTATTTCTTGCATTGGTAGAATGAAATAATATGTGATCACTCTCAGCAATTAAGAGAATTAAATCATAGTTTCCAAGCGTATACATAAATCCAACTAATGTCAATTCAAGTTTCTACATATTAATAAATCCACAACGGTCTCACATTAAATCCAACTATCGATTCGATTCGGCCTCAAAATTTATTACTCCTATCGTACACTTTCTGTTTCATCCAGCACACTTAATTATAATACGGCGGTTAATGAGTTACAAGACGGTGATTACGGAGTAAGCTATGGCGATCCATGGATACGTGCACTAATCTAAATCAATTTCGCCCCGGCTTCACTTAACTAACCTTGAAACATAAATTACAATTAGGAGGACACTTGTTTTGTGGTTCAACTGACGGAACAATTCAGAAATGTATTTGTATGTGGTGATAATAACCATTCTTGCGAATTACGGTATCATATTTGACAAGTATTTTGTGAATTCTTAACGCTTGTCCTACCTAGATAACATCGACTATGGTCATTCCAGAACACTTTGTTGGGTGACTATAGAATGGCTTTCTCAGGCGTGTTTATACTGACCGAATAATACCTAATCAGTGCTTATGTAATACAATAATTTGGATCATTTGACTTTCTACCTACCTAGTGACCTATAGTTTTTACCAGAGTTCAATTGAATGGTCATAAATGGTAATAAACTAATTACCATTTTTCGCATAAGGAAACAGATTCAATTGAAGGAAAGAATTCAATTAATTTTGATTATTCAATGAATTTTTCAAATTCCTAAATCTATTAATTTCCAAGAATTCCAAAAGATTGAGTTTGCGACTTTTTCTTTTCCAACTGTTATTCGCCATGGTCGTGGTTGAACTGATGCCCTTCAGCCGAAGGATGGTTTGCAAATGTGGAACTGGTCTTCACATTCAAGAAACTATTCTATGTTGTTTCGTTCTTCTGGAAAATGTTCTTCCCGTTTGGCCAAT